CTTTATCCAAATTTACAAAAAGGCAGAGAGATAATATCCAAATTAACAAAATCAGAAATGAAAAAGGGGACATAACAACAGACACTGAAGAAATCCAAAGAGTCATCAGGTCATACTTCAAAACCTTGTACTCCACAAAATTGTAAAATTTAAAGGAAATGGACAATTTTCTGGATAAGTACCACATAACAAAATTAATTCAAAAGCAGATAAGAAAATTAAATAGACCTATAACTTCTAAGGAAATAGAAATAGCCATCAAAAGTCTCCCCACCAAAATAGTTCAGGACCAGATGGTTTCAGTGCAGAATTCTATTAGAATTTCCAAAAGAGCTGCTATCAATACTCCTCAAATTGTTCCACACATTAGAAACAGAAGGAACATTACCAAACTTTTATGAGGTCACAATTACACTGATACCCAAATCACACAAAGATGCAACTAAGAAGGATAATTACAGACCAATCTCCCTCATTAACATTGATGTAAAAATACAGCAAACCGAATCAAGGAACAAACAAATCAGAAAAATCATTCATCATGACCAAGTACTCTTCATCCCAGAGATTCAAGGATGGTTCAGCATATGAAAATCTGTCAATGTAATCTACCATATAAGCAAACTGAACTTAAAAAAAAAAAAACCACATGATCATTTCATTAGCTGCATAAAAATCCTCTGACAAAATTTAACATCCCTTTATGATAAGAGTCTTGGAGAGATCAGGAATATAAGGGACATTCCTACACATAATAAAGACAATATACAGCAAGGCAATAGCTAATATCAAATTTAATGGAGAAATATTCAAATTGTTTCCAGTAAAACTGGGAACAAGACAAGGCTACTCACTCTCCCCATGCTACTCTCTCTCTCCATATCTTTCAATATTGTGCTTGAAGTCCTAGCAAGAGCAATAATACAAAAGGAAGTCAAGGGGATACAAACTGAAAGGGAAGAAGTCAAACTTTCCCTATATGCTGATAATATCATAGTATACATAAGAGACCCAAAAAATTTTAGCAGAGAGCTCTTACATTTGACAAACACATTTAGTAATGTGGCAGGATACAAAATTAACTAAAAAGATATCAGTAGTCCTACTAGTACATATGATAAACAGGCTGAAAAAGAAATCAGGAAAACATCAACTTTTACAATAGCTACAAACAACTTAAAATATCTTGGGTTAACTAATGAAGTGGAAGACATGTATGACAAAAACCTTATTTTTATTATTTTTTGCCACAGAATTATTTTATTGATTACTTATTTTCTTTTTTTCTTATTTTACATATCCCAGGTCCCTCTCCCTCCCAACCTCCCATACACTCCCCCAACCACCCTCCTGTCCCATCCCCCACCCACTCCCCAGGGAGGTTTAGGCCTGGAAGGAGGGATCATCAAATTCTGTCAAGTCATTTGGGGTAGGGCCTAGGCCCTCCCTCCTGTCTCTAGGCTAAGTGAGTAACCCTCCATAGGGAATGTGCTCCTGAAGTCCTTTCCTGCATCAGGAATACATTCTGGTTCCACTATCAGAGATCCAATAGACTGCACAAGCGTTCTAACTGTGACCCACACACAGGGGTTCTGGGTTGGTTCTATTCTGGTTTCCCAACTATCAGTTTAGGGTCCATGGGCTTCCCATTGTTCAGGACAGCTATGTCTGTGGGTTTCTGGAGCCTGATCTTGACCCCTTTGCTCATTACTCCTCCCTCTCTGCAACTGGATTCCAGGAGTTCAGCTCAGTGTTTAGGTGTGGTGTCTGCTTCTGTTTCCATCAGCTACTAGATGAGGGTTCTATGATGGCATGTAAGTTAGTTATCAATCTCATTATCAGGGAAGGGCATATAACATAGCCTTTCCATTGTTGCTCAGATTGTTATTTGGGGTCATCCTTATAGGTCTCTGGACATTTTCCTAATGTGAGTTTTCTCTTCAAAACAATAATGGTTCCCTCTACTATGGTATCTCTTTTCTTGCTCCCCTCTATTCCTCCCCTGACTCAATCTTCCTGGTCCCTCATGTTCTCCTTTCCCTTCTTCTTCTACCCTTCTTTTTCTCCTAACTCTCTTTCCACTCACTGCTCCCTGCTCCCAATAAACACCTTCAGCAAAATAGCAGGATACAAGATTAACTAAATTAACCCAAACCAAACCAACCAAACAAACAAAAAACAAAAACAAGTAGCCCTATTATATACAGACTATAAAGGGACTGAGAAATAAGTCAGAGAAGCATCACCCTTTACAATAGCCACAAACAAGTTAAAATATCTTGGGGTAACAGTAGCCGTGCAAGTGAAAGACCTACATGGCAAGAACTTTGTGCATTTAAAGAAACTAAAGAAGATACCAGAAAATGGAAAGATCTCTCATGCTCTTGGATAGATAGGATCAATATGGTAAAAGTGGCAATCTTGCCAAAAGCAGTGTACAGATTCAATGCAATCCCCATCAAAATCCAAGCACAATTCTTCACTGACTTTGAAAGGATAATACTCAACTACTCAACTTTATATGGAAAAACAAAAGACCCAGGATAGCCAAAACAACCCTGTGCAAGAAAGGAACTTCAGGAGGTATCACCATTTTTTACTTCAAGCTCTACTATAGAGCTATAGTCCTGAAAACAGCTTGGTATTGGCAAAAAATTAGACAGATTGACCAATGGAATCAAATTAAAAATCCTGATATTAACCCACACACCTATGAACACCTGATTTTTGACAAAGAAGCTAAAATTACATAATGGAAAGAGAAAGGCATCTTCAACAAATGGTGCTGGCATAGCTGGATGCTGGCATATAGAAGACTGCATATAGAACCCTGTCTATCACCATGCACAACACTTAAATCCAAATGGATCAAAGACCTCAACTTAAGTCTAGCTGAATCTCTTAGAAGAGAAAGTGAGAGGAACCCTTGAACTAATTGGTTCAGGAGACTGCTTCCTGAACACAATACCTGTAGCACAGACATTGAGATTGACAATTAATAAGTGGGATCTCCTGAGACTGAGAAGTTCCTGTAAGGCAAAGGACACAGTATACAAGACCAAACCACAGCTCACAGAGTGGGAAAAGATCTTCACCAACTCCATATTTGACTGAGGGCTGATCTCAAAATATAAAAAGAACTCAAGAAGCTAGTCACCAAAACACCAAATAACCCTATTAAAAAGTGAGGTACAGAACTGAATAGATAATTTTCAATAGAGGATCAAAAATGGCTGAAAGACACTTAAGAAAGTGCTCAATATTCTTATTCATCGTGGAAATGCACATCAAGGCAACTCTGACATACCATCTTATTCCTGTCAGAGTGGCTAAAATTGGAAACACCAATGACAGTTTATACTGGAGAGGGTATAGAGAAGAGAGGGAACACTCCACCACTGCTGGCGGAAGTACAAACTTATACAGCCATTTTGGAGATCAGTATGGCAGTTCTTTAGGAAAATGGGAATCAGCCTACCACAGAATCTAGCAATTCCACTCTTAGGCATATACCCAAAAGATGAACATCTATGCAACAAAGACATCTGTTTGGCTATGTTCATAGCAGCATTTTTTGCAATATCTAGAACCCAGTAAATTCCTAAATGCCCCTCAACTGAAGAATGGATAAAGAAGATGTGGTACATTTACACAATGGCCTACTACTCAGAGTTTAAAAAAAAAACAATGGAATCTTGAAATTTGCAGGCAAATGGATGGAACTAGAAGAAATCATCCTGAGTGAGGTAACCCACTCACAAAAAGAAGAATATGGTACCTACTCACTCATATATGGATTTTAGACATAGAGCAAAGGATCACCAGCCTACAATCCAAACCACCAGAGAAGCTAGGATACAAGGAGGACCACAAAAGAGACATACAAGGTCCTCTACAGAAGCAGGAAGGGACAAGATCTCCTGAGCATGAATGAAATTATGTAAAAGAGGATAAGAAGTTGGTTGGTGTATTAAATGGGAGCACTAGGTGAAGTTTGGGGAAATAGGGGTTGATAGGTATGACCAATATACTTACTTACTATAATGTTTGACACTTTTGAAATGTAAAAATCATTAGAAATAGAAATTCAGAGATTAATTAGATGTGGATTTCCTACTCTCTCTACAGACCCCACAATTAGGCTATGACCAGAGAGGCCAGGACCACAGATCAGAAGTTTAATGGGTCTACACAGTCCAAACTTATGGATAACCTTTATACAATATTCCTAGGATTTTAGTCTCTTGTTGCTTCTTATCATGCAATAATGTAGATAAATCTAACAGCTTTATCTCAAGATAACTTATTGCTTAAAAAATAAAAATAAAAAAACACAGCCCAAAGGAATGAAGTCTGTATTTAACCCGATTTCTGTTATAACAAATAGCTAAGCTAATCAATTTATAAATAGAAAAGGATTATTCCTGAAACTTTGTTGTAGAGGTCTCAATTCCTGGTGAGTAGAGGTCATTGATATGGTCTGTGTTTGCACCTCATGGTAGGGATGGGTGTATAAATAGACACCCACCTCCTGGCCAATAAGAAAGATAGACAAAGTTCTGAGTGACATATCTTGTTTAAGGCATACCTTGAGTAAAGTAAATATCACAACTAGTTTCAATTTCTACATGTTTCTAGCATTTCCCACAAGCACACCAATAGGGAATAGGCTTTTGACAATGACATGAGACTTTGGGGACAATTAAGATCCAATCTGGAACATGGCTAATGATGAACAATTTTGAAAACTATTAATAATATTTCAACAGTATATTTAGCAATTTATATTTGTTTGATTATATTTACACCTCTAATTTTAAAAGTATTTGATGTCATCACAGAAACATTTAGTTTCCTATGAAATTTGAACCCCCATATTTATTGGATATCTCCTCACATACTAACATATCATCAAGCTTTTTTCAATCAGCACACTCACTTTAATATTATATCAAGGAGGCATTATTACTATACCAAGTCTTTCAAAATAACAGATGTCTCTAAGAAAACATTTTCCTGCTTATCTGTCTCTTTAGAGCACCCTTAATCTCATTATTCCTAAGACTGTAGATGAGGGGGTTCAACATGGGAATCACCACCATGTAGAACACAGACACCACCTTGTTCTGGTCTGTAGAATAGCTGGACTTAGGCATGACATAAATGAATGTGATGGTTCCGTAGAACAGAGTGACTGCAGTGAGGTGGGAGGTGCAGGTAGAAAAGGCCTTGTGGCGGCCCTCTGTGGAGTGCATCTTCAGGATAGTGATGAGGATGTAGATGTAGGAGACAGCAATGACAAACACTGTGATCACAATGATGGAGCCAGCTGTGAATGAGGGAACAACTGCAGGGATACTGGCATCAAAACATGAGAGTTTTACTAAAGGAGCAAAATCACAGAAAAAGTGATTGACTCTATTTGGTCCACAGAAGAAAAGAGAAAAGAAAGAAAGGGTAAAGGATGAAGCATTAAGAAAACCACCAATATACGAGCCTACAAGCAAATGAACACAAATCTCTGTGGACATTTTGGTTGAATAAAGCAGTGGGCTACAGATTGCTACAAAACGATCATAAGCCATGGCAGCCAGAAGGAAACATTCAACTGTCCCAAAGAAAACAGCAGAGCCAAGTTGGATGGCACATCCAAAGTAGGAGATGGTATTTCTCTGCACCAGGAAGTTGACAAGCATATTAGGTGTGACAGAAGATGAGTAGCCTATGTCAGCAGAAGCCAAGTGACTGAGAAAAAAGTACATGGGGTGATGAAGCTGGGAAGAGACTCTGATGAGGAGGATGGTGCTGAGGTTCCCAGACACAGTCACCAGGTAGATGCACAGAATAATAGTGAAGAGGACGACTCTCAGGACTGGGTCATCTGTCAACCCCAATAAAATGAACTCTGTCACTACAGTGTGGTTCCCATCCTCCAGGAAAGCCATGGGATGGTATTGCTGCTGCCAGTACATAGCTGTGATGAAGACATTACGGGAAGAAATTTATAAATGGGTAGTTTTACTTTCTTTAATACAGAAACAATGCAATTATGTTGAAAGATATCCAAACATTCATATTTATTTGCCTTGAAGGATGAGTCCCTCTATAAATTTGAAGTTCTTTAGCCAATCCCCTAAAAACTTTCCCTTAAATAACATACCTTTTTCTTTACATGTTATGCTGTTTAACCAAATACACCTTAAAGCAAAATATGTAAATAGAAGATAGATGAGAAACACACAAACTAATCCTGGATATATTAAGAAAGATGAAATCAAAGAGGTTTGTAGGAAATATCAGAAATATATATATATATTTAAACATTATTTTTTTTTGTATTTTACATGTCAATCCCAGTTCCCTCATCCTCCCTACCTCCCATGCCCCCTGACCCCCCCTCCCATCCCATTCCCCACCCACTCAACAGGGTCTTCCAGAAGGGATCATAAAAATCTGTCAAGTCATTTGGAGTAAGGCCTAGGTCCTCCCTCCGGTCTCTATCCCTCCATGGAGAATGTGTTCCCAAAGTCCTTTCGTGCTCCAAGGATACACCCTGGTTCCACTATCAGAGGTTCCTTAGACTACCCAGGCCTTCTAATTAAGACCCATGTTCAGGGGGCCTGCATCAGTCTTATGCTGGTTTCCCAGCTATCAATCTGGGGGTCCATGAGCTGCCCCTTGTTCAGGTCATCTGTTTCTATGAGTTTCTGTAGCCTGGTCTTGACCCCTTTGCTTATCACTTCTCCCCCTCTACAGCAGCTATATTTTTACATGCTACTTAAACAGTCTTAGTTATAGAATTATGCATAGATACAAATAGGTAATTTGTGAATTTTCAGTGTTTTGTTTTTACATAAAATATTTCATTGTCAAATTTATTATTTTAACCATTTTAATAATTTTTTAAAGAGATTCTTTAACTTGAATGTGGTTACATAACAACCAGTAAATTTGAATTAAATCACCAAGGTGTCTCCAACTCCTACTTAAAATCTACAAAATAATACAGTTAAATAATAAAAAATCTCAGACTCTTATATACCAGAAGTGATGGAAAGGCAAGTTTCAAAATAGATATTGTGTAAGAATTCTCCACATAAATAAAATCAGTATTTCACACCAAATAGACAAGCATTTTAAATTATCAATAAAATTATCTAGTGAAAATTGATAATTTTTTTCACATATTTGAAACTAAATATTTTACCAAAATATTTGGAATATATATATATATATATATATATACATACATACATACATACATACACATATATATATGGAAAAAAACATACTAGATATTCAACACATAACTAACATCGGCTTATTCAAGTTAAATAGCTTCCTGACTAACATTGGTTTCTATTTGTGAATTTATTTTGTGAAAAAATATTTTTTCTAACATATAGGCAGATGCTTTAAATTTAATAGCTTTTTTAAGGCCCAGTAAGTCTTTATGCACATTTTTTTAAACAATTTTTAAATCTTAAACCTGAATTCTTAAATATCACTAAATGCCTGATATTTACTGAATCCTTAAATGTCAATAAATGTCTGATATTACAAGCCATTCAACTCTTTTACTAGTGACACATTTAGATAATGTTGAAAAACATGATTTGCTATGTTATGGGTAGGTTAGCAGGAATTTGGTACTCTGATTATAACTGCTTCATCTCATTAAACTAATGGTAGAATCAGAGCTAACCAGCCAAGGTGGTTCATTGCTGACTACTTGATTACACTTGCCCTTTCACACTGCAACTTAATATATAGAAGTTTTTTTCAGATGATAAATAAAAAGCAGGCAGCCATATTCATTACCAAAAGCCAAAGTCCTACCTCTTGAATTGAAAGCTCATTCATCTTTCAGTGAAATGTTAAAAATTGTATAGGTGGTTTTATAGTTATCTTTTAACTTTTGCCTCCTTTGGGGATGAATCTCTAAAGATATTAAAAATTCAAATGTGAATTCTAAAGTGTTATGGAACATTCTTTCTGTGGTGGATACTGAGTGACTCAATTCACAGGCAAAAACAACTAATCTTCCAAAAACCTGTGAATTCTCAAGTGGTCAACTCATTATTTTGTTCTCTCTGGGTGTTCAAGCATAATCATGTAGGATTTCTTTAATATTTATTACATCATAATAGATATTCTTATGAACAATTCCAGGTTTACTTGGATATTTATGAGAAGTAAATAATGATAAACTTCAAATATGAAAGCTAAACCTAGTTTCAACCATTGAATATCTTTATCACTAAGTATTTTGAATTGACATCTTTAACATATGCCATTGAGTACCCCAGGGGAGCATGAAGTGGACCTTCATATAAAGTGGAATTTCAAATAACAAAAAGTTTTATGCATTTCTATCATTGTATAGGAAGACAGAGCATGAATGTCTTAAAAGTGCATGAGGAATCATAATTTTAACATAACCTGGGTGCCTCCAGGAATGGAAATAGAATTAATTGTCACATATAAGTGGTTCCCTTGGTGTAGGTAGGACATAGAGGAACACTAACTCTTCAGTCCAAAAACTCAGTGACACTTTAGTTCTCTTGCTAATCCTGATTTAGGTATCCCTTGTAGCCCTGCTATTGTAGCCCTGCTATTGCAAGGTTGGGTTGATAAACACTACAATAATTACAACCAATATTACTGTCAATATCGCTTTATATCAATAACTATGCTAAGCATTTTACACGTAGTGAATGTTCATACTAAGTTAGAATGTAGATACTTTTATTGTTCTCATTTTTTCATTAGATAGAGCAGAGACTGAAGAGTTCAAACAATTTGTGTACTGTCATTCTGACCCCTATACATTTAAGAGTGGGTTGATATCTGTAATCCACAAAGAACTAAAAACAAAGCAAAACAAACACAAAACAGATGATCTACACATAAATCAATTATTTCTTAAAATAATAATAGAAACTGCAAACAAGAATGTGAAAAAGAAGTGTGTTCAGTAGTCTTAGCTATTAGCATAATAATTAAAATGATATTGGGAACCCATTATAAAGGAAATAATTGGCTACAAATTTTGGAGAGGATGTGGGAAAAGGAATTATACACTTTGCAGGTTTCGCTCTCTCTATCTCCCCCTCTCCCAGAGACTCTCTCTCTCTCTCACTAATTTAAAAATAGAACTACTATTTAATCCATCCATGCCACTTTCCATTATAAACTCAAGGGATTCTAAGCCAGAAGGCTCAGAGATATTTGTATCCTCATGTTTATTGTTGAAATATGCACAGTAGCCTAGACATGGAGGTTTATTCACAGTTGAGTGAATTAAGAATACATGATACATTTGCTCAGTAAAATTTTATTCCTCTCTAAAGAAGAAAGATATTAGTTAATGTATAAGAAAATGGATGAAACCAAAAAGCATTGTGTTGCATAAAATAAGCCCTTCAGAAAAACACCATGTTCACTTCTATATTTAAAACATATTTCCTGTCACATCAGAGCAAACATATGGATATGTGTGGAAATGTCACAATGAAGTTATATTACGAATGATGAAAATGTAGGCGGTTACTCAGGAAAATGAGAATTAGTTTACCACAGGACCTGGCAATTCCCCTCTTAGGCATATACCCAAATGATACACATCTATGCAACAAAGACATCTGCTCAACTATGTTCATAGCAGCACAGCATTATTTGGATTACCAAGAACCTGGAAGCAACCTAGATGCCCTCAACTGAAGAATGGATAAAGAAAATGTGGCACATCTACACACTGGAATACTACTCTGCAGAAAAAAATAATGGAATCTTGAAATTCGCAGGCAAGTGGATGGCACTTGAAGAAACCATCCTGAATGAGGTAACCCAGTCACAAAAAGAGGAACATGGTATGTACTCCGTCATATATGGATTTTAGACCTAGAGCTAAGGATCACCAGCCTATACTTCACACCACCAGAGGAACTAGGATACAAGGTGTATTCTAAGAGATTCATATAAAATCCCTCACAGAATGGGGAAGGGACAAGTCACCCAGAGCACAGGGGAAGTGGGGGGGCAGTGAATGGAGAGAGAAGTAGGAGAAAAGTGAAGGGGAGGAGAGGAAAGCACGTGTGACTAGGAAGATTGAGTCAGGGTCGGAATAGAAGACAGGAGAGAGAGAGAGAGAGAGAGAGAGAGAGAGAGAGAGAGAGAGAGAGAGAGAGAGAGAGAGAGAGAGAGAGCGCATAAAAGAGGGAGCCAATATTGGTTGGAAGAGGAAACTGAACACCTACAAGACTGCTGCCAACTAACAATTTGAGCAACCGTGGAAGGCTACTATAAATGCTCTCCCTGGGTAGTGAGATCAACAACTAACTTATCCACCACCATGGAGCCCTCATCTAGCACCTGTTGGAAACAGAAGCAAACACCCATAACTAAACACTGAGTTGAACTAGAATCCAGATACTGAGGGAGAGCACAAGACCAGGTTGCAGAAACACATAGAGACAGCTGACCTGAACAAGGAGGAGCTAATGGGCCCCCAGACTAATAGCTGGGAATCCAGCATGGGACTGACTCAGGCCCCCCTGAATATGGGTCTCAGCCAGAAGGGCTGAGCAGTCTAAGGTACCTCAGACAGTGGAACCAGGATGTATCCCTGGTGCACAAAAAGACCTTTTGGACACATCCTCCATGGAGGGATACTCCCTTAACCTAGAGACAGGAGAGAAGTCCTAGTCCCTACTTCAAATGATTTGACAGATTTACATGACCCCACCTGGATGGCATTGCCCTACATGTGGAATTGGGGTGGGGGATGGGAGGGGAGGGTGGTCAGGGTGCATGTGAGGGGGCAGAGAGGGTAAGAGGGATGGATGGATGGATGGATGGAGGGAGGGAGGGAGGGAGGAAGAGGGAACTGGGATGGACATGAAAAAATGATGAAAATGTAAACATGGGAAAGAGGCAAAGAGGC